AATATGGATTTCATTGTTTTAAAGTTAATATCATTTATGCCATGGAAAGAATTATGTTTTAATGAAAAGAGACGGTCTTTAGAGTCAGGAACACCTTGATTCCACTCTTGATTGGACACCTGTTATTTGATCTTTTTTTAAAAAAAAAATATTTTATTGATTTTTTACAGAGAGTAAGGGAAAGGGATAGAGAGTTAGAAATATCGGTGAGCTGCCTCCTGCACACCTCCTACTGGGGATGTGTCCAGAACTAAGGTACATGCGCTTGACTGGAATCGAACCTGGGACCTTTCAGTCTGCAGGTCGATGCTCTATCCACTGAGCCAAACTGGTTAGGGCTTGTTATTTGACCTTGATGAGTTTCTTATGACTGCCTGGCCCCCCCCCTCCCCCTTGCCTTGGTCTTGTTATCTGTAAAGTGCCAGTGACATCGGCTTCACATGGTTAGATGACATAATGCACCTAAAGCACCTGGCAAAGGTTAGTGGTTGAATGAATGCTAGGATTTTTCCCTTTCCCCCAGAAAAGTGAAATATTAACTGGTATACTGGTTAAATATGAGCCTAGGGATTTTCCCATTTGCAGTTTAAAAAAAGGAAGACTAGCAAGAAAAATCTCTATCCAGTAAAGAGAATGCCAAGTGAGTGCTTGGTTTTCTCAAATAAATAAGAATTTCCCCACCCCCATTCTGCATGCTTTTTCGAAGTCTGATGATTAAGTAAAAAAAAAACATTATTTTTCTTTTTGGAATCTAATTGAGACTATATCTTTGAATCATATTTATGGAGTAGTAGCTAGAGATCAACTTCTTTAAAATAAGCTGCTCATTTGTGATGGTCTAAGCATGGAGAAAGGAACATGAGAAAGGTGTGGTTGCTTAATTCAGATGTCAGGACTTTGACTTTTTTTAAAAAACAGCTTTGTTGAGATATAATTCACCTTCTACAAAATTGACCTGCTTAAAGTATACAATCAGTGGTTTTCAGTGCACTAAGAGCTGTGCAGCCATTGCCACAATAATACACTTCCATTACCCTAAAAGGGGCCCCATGTCCTTAGTCCCCACCCTCCAGTTCCCCTGCCCTCCTCCAGCCCCTGGAAATTGTTAGCTTGTTTTCTGTCTCTATGGATTTGCCTATTTCTGATATTTCATAAAAATAAGGATCATATAATATATGACCTTTGTGACAGTCCTTTCAGGACCTTACCTGTTAATATTTTGTTTGGAGAACAAGTCGAGGCTGCCAGAGGTCTCGATTCGGGTTTTGTTTCCCTTCAAGAGTCAATGCATAATACCAGATACTAAACCTGAAATGATTTTTAAGCTCAGGAAAAAGAAAATGCAACCGTTTTCAGGGAATTTTGTTACAGGTATTTTGATATACTGTTTAAACATGATGTCACTTAAACATTTTTTATAGTTTTATTAATATAATACAAGTTCTGAAGGGCAAAAATTAAGGAAAAATATATACTACAAGTTCCACATATTCAAAAAATACAATTTGATGAGTTTTGACAATAAGTATATACCCATGAAATGATCACCACAAACAAGATAATGAACATATTCATCATTTCTAAAACTTCCTTGTGTCCTTATCTTCTCCCACCTGAGATACTGTTTGGGAGCAGTATAACGGTAAGGGACAGCGTGTGCTGAGGCTAGCTGCTGGGTTCCCTTGTGTGAATATTGTGACTTCTCTCATTTTTTGTTTCCTCACCTGTGAAGTGGAGATACTTAATGTATCTACGTCCAGTATTGTGGTTGCTATTAAATTCAAAATAAGCTAGCTGCTGGGTTCCCTTGTGTGAATATTCTGACTTCTCTCATTTTTTGTTTTCTCACCTGTGGAGATACTTAATGTATCTATGTCCAGTATTGTGGTTGCTATTAAATTCAAAATTTTTATGAAGCAGTTAGTACAGTGTCTAGCACATAGTAAGCACTCCATAAGTGGTAGCTATTGTTAATGTGATTTTATTTTATGTTACCCTAAATTACTTGATATACAGGATGGGGCAAAAGTACATTTATAGTTGTTCATATGAAAAATAATACAATAATAAATAATAATACAACAATAAACTCTGTTTTGTGAACTCAAAACTGTAAACCTATTTTGCCTCACCCTGTATTAGATAATTCATCATTATGTGTCAATATAAAGCCTAATATGAGTACATATGGTAGGTACTCAATTTATATTCCTTGATTCTCTTTTCTCCTTAATTCTTTTTTAAAAAATACATCTATTTTATTTATTTTAGAGAGGAAGGGAGTGGGAGAGAGAGAGATAGAAACATCAATGATGAGAATCGTTGATCGGATACTTCCTACACGCCCCCTACGGGGGATCCAGTCCGCAACCTGGGCCCATGCCCTTGACTGGAATCGAATCTGGGACCCTTCAGTCTGCAGGCTGATGCTCTATCCACTGAGCCAAACCGGCTAGGGTTCTCCTTAATTCTTGATAATGGCACTTATTATTATTCACTAACCCTGATGACTAACTTTGAGAACTGATTTGAAAAATTTACATTCATTCTATCACTCATCCAACTAATTTTATGAATACATGTTGTATTTCATCACTGAATCAGGCACTGTGAGGGATTCTGAGTTGAATAAGACATAAGATATATCCTGTATACATTTAACCAGGGTATAAGACAGAATATTCATAGCGGATGCATGAGCTAAGTGACATGAAGTTGAGAGGCAGGAGTGCTTGCTTCCAGCAGTGGACACCCGAGGATGGTCTCATGAAGGCTGTGCAATTTGATTAAGGACTCGGGGGCCTGGAAGGGAAGACGTTCAACCTGAGAAATGGGATCAGTATTGTGCAGGGCTCTCCAGCTCAGTCTGGGAACAGAGAGCGGCCTCGGTGTAGTTGGAACACAGCGATGTAGAGTTGAATGAAATAGCTGGTGAGGGGGTGGGCGGAGTCCAAAGAGGCTTTCTGGGTGCGGAGGTGAGACGTGTGCTGTCAAGCAGTAGAGAGCCAGTGAAGGTGTTTTTCAGCAGGGGAGAGAGTTACACCACCAGTAGGTAGCTTTTGAGGTGGCTGTTTATGGACTGAGTTGACAGGAAGACAGTTAAGCAATGAGGACTTTTAAGCGTTAGGATGTTACTTAGGTCGGTTAGTAACTATGAGAAAGGAAACAGGCACGTTGTAAGAGATCGGTAGGGTTGGTGCCTGACTGGTTGTCAGGGGTGGGGCTTTCTTCTTTTGGAAATCTTGTAGAGTGCTTACAGTGTGCCAGCCACCGCAAGCCAGTCCCCACAGCCATGAAGGGTAGGTATACTTGTAATTGCCCTTTTACTGATGAGGAAACCAAGACTCAGGGTGGCTAAGAGAAGTGTTTGTTGTCCTCCAGTTGTACTGCTCCTCTTCTGTCCAGGTCCTTTTCCCAGTCAGACCTTCTCAGTGACTTCTCACTTTGCCTTCACCAGCTTCTCCATATGCCCTCTCGTCTCTGCTCATTGCTGTCTCCTTCGTTCAGGTCTTCGTCACTCATGGCAGCTATTGTGACACAATCCAAGGTCGTCATTTTCACTCTGACAGTGTTTTCTCGAAACAGAAATGGGTCATGTCTTTTTGTATTTTTAAGATGCTTCCTCATTGTCTCTGGGTGGAGTGTGGTGTTCAGGGCTCTTACTGTGTTCTGATCCTTTATAGACGTAGTGTGTCCCCTCCCCCCAAAACGCCAGCTTCTGTTGGCTCTGTCTTTGCTTAGGCACTTTCTCACCCTGAAACGCCCTTCCTCCTTTTCTCTGCATCATGAACTTCTCATCATTCTTCAGGAGCTCACGCAGGTTATGGTGTCTGTCATACCTGCGGCAACAGGGCTCTTCATTCCTTCCTATTAGGCTGTATCGCGTGTCTTGTAGTTAATGATTCAGTGCCATACCCTTTTCAAAATTGATTTGCAGCAGCTTATAAAAATACATGTTGCAGTAAAAAGCAGATGGATGAACATATAAGAGCAAATGGACTATGAGGATAGGAAAATCAAGTCAAGAATAAAGTTAGGATAGAAATTTGTTACTTCGTGGCCCGCACGATGCTGGAGGCAGCTTCAGCGTCTACTCTGAGCTTCCAAATCAGAGTGAAAAGGGAAGCGCGGACTCGGAGTTTTCCCAGCGAAGGTCCAGCGGAAAGCCAGTTGCTCCAGAGAAGAGCTCTTCCTACTGAGAACTGATAGATGTTTCTGGGGTGAGTGGAAGGTAGGGGTGAAGTTACATGAGGCCCTAAAACACAGCTACTTCTTGATCGAGCTCAATCCAAGGACAATATGTAGAATAACCAAAGGATTAACATATCGTATTCGTTGTAGTTATTGTTTTACATCTGCTTAGCCCCTCTCCTCCCTCCCCCCAAATGATCACCTTCGCTCAGGCAGGAACCATGTTTTGCTTTGGTTGGATCAATGATAGAAAACCTTAAGAGAAAGAATGAGAACGGTCTATGATTGTGATCCGCCCAGGAATCATCATCATGCTCTGATTTGAATTCTACTCAAAAAGTCAGATTCATGTCTGAGATCCAAGATCTGTAAATAAATGGTTGTGAGTTTTCTTTACTGTTTTAGAGACTGACCTGTGTCTGAGGCGGTTTTCAAGCAGTAAATGCATGAGCCGCCTGAAATGGCAGAAGTGACTGCAGCTGGGCCTGTCTGCCACTAGTACTTACATAAGAGAGCCTTGAAAACATTCAGTACATTCAGCAGTGCTCAGTTTTAAATTCAGTTTTTCCTTTGTTTACTGCATTTGGGGTTAAGAGTGCCTTACATTACTATATTATCATGATTAGTGAGGCAGATTCAGAAAGAAGTATGCCTTTTCAAGAGCAAAGCAAAAACAGCAAATTTACCGAATGACTTCAGTTCTCCCCAGATAGCTCTTCTTTCTGTTATTTATGTCAAATATGTCCTGTGATGACGTAAGACCTTTTCATTTTTGTCTAAAGGCTGCTTTCCTTTTTTTGTACACTTAGGAACTTGATAAAGAACTCCCTGTGCTTAAGCCATATTTTGTCAATGACCCTGAAGCAGCTGGAGTGAGTGAAGCAGGCTTAAGAGTCACGTGGCTGGGACATGCCACGGTCATGGTGGAAATGGACGAGCTCATCTTTCTCACCGACCCCATGTTTAGCTCTCGTGCTTCACCGTCGCAGTACATGGGTCCAAAGCGCTTTCGGCAGGCACCGTGCTCTGTCAGTGAGCTCCCCCACATAGACGCGGTCCTCATCAGTCACAACCACTACGACCACCTGGACTACAGTGCTGTCATCTCTTTGAACGAGCGGTTTGGTAACGACTTGAGGTGGTTTGTGCCGTTGGGTCTCCTCGACTGGATGCAGAAATGTGGCTGTGAGAACGTGATCGAGCTGGACTGGTGGGAGGAGAACTGTGTCCCCGGACATGACAAGGTCACCTTTGTCTTGACACCTTCCCAGCACTGGT